TTGGTAATGACGAAGTCTTGGTCTCGTATGATGTGTCCTCTCTCTTTACTGAAGTTGCGCTCGATAAAACCATTGACCACAACATTCATGAAATTTACACCAACAACAAGCAAGCTACCACAACTCAACTCAGTTACTCTTCAGACGCTTTCTCTTTAATGTTACCAAGAACACAGTTCGAATGACATTAGATTTTGTTCGACATTTAAAAATAAATATTAGCGAGAAAATACACAACGTTTCGATGACTCCATGTCATCATTCTCAAGTGAGAAGAGAATAAAAATGAATAGTTCATTTATACCGTACGAAGATGACAAACGTAAAAAGTTAAATTTTTTTTTTTTTAAAAACCTTTCAACCCACCATTCTATGATTGGTATTTTGATGATTGTTTCTCTAAGAAGAAAAAGGACGAGCTTGATGCTCTATTTGAACGGCTAAATCCCTAACATTGTTTTCATTGTCGAGGAAAACCCCGACCACTTCCTCGATACTGCCTTTAGTTATAACAACAAGTTCAATCGCAGCGTCTTCAAGAAACCGGGGAAACTACCATCACATTGGAAATCGGAGGTCCCTACAAAATGGAAAAGGAATTGCGTCACTGGCGCACTCCATAGAGCCAAACGCATCTCTACCGATCTTTACAAGGACATAAAAAACTCTTGAAACTTCTTTTATCAATGGCAACATCATTCCGTATTTTCTCTTCGAAGAGCGAAAGAAAGTTTTCATCAAGCTCCTTTTGGCGGTAAAAACGAAAAACTCGGTAAGACGTTCGTTGCACAACTCAACGAGTTCACCAATTTTAATATCATCTTTGTAATCCTGTGGCAAACAAGGCAAATTAAAAGCCTCTTTAACAACAGAGACAAAACACTCACAGATCCAAACTTGTTTACAAAGGAGATTGTTCTTGTGGCTTTGATTACGTTAGCGAGACTGTGAGAAATTTAGCAGTACGTATTGCGGAGCATTCAAATCCTGCTCACACCTCTGAACCTGCCAAACACTTGCGGGAAAATCCATCACATTCTTTCACTTAGCGGGTTCTCTCCTCAGCAGAAACATTCCACAAGCGTAGGATCGTCGAGGGGCTAATGATCCAACTATTCCGCCCCAGTTTGAGCAAACAAGGCATTTCTTATGTCTCCAAACTTTTCCCATCGGAAATTACACAAGATTATTATGTCTCCAAACTTTTCCCATCGGGAATTACATAAGATATATATATATGTATGTGCAGATGGTTATTATTTCAACCCTGATGATGGCAAACAGCCGAAAACGTTTGGTTCAAACATTTTAATTTTTGCCTTATCTTTTAGCCTTGTATAGAATATACTTTACTAAGCGAACATTATGGACAAGGTTTTAATTCTTAATATGAAATCAACGCAGTACACATCATGAAAACAGAAAACGCAAAAAAATAATCAAATTTTTTATTGAGAGAGTTTTCGCTCGACATGGAAAAAATATTCGCAGCTAACTCAATACATATGTGTTATTCAATTTCCTTCACAAATGAATAACACTGCGATGAACGATGTTATGTGAGAAATTGAAAGAAAGAATCACCTTAGATCCTTAGCAGAATAGAAGTGAAGATTCTCCCATACAGACCTCCCACTCGGTTAATAAGAACTAAATATTCACCTCGCCTTCGGCGGATAATTGTTAAATATATATATATATATATAAAGAAATATATCTATATATCTTTTGCTACTTACATGAATAACTTCCTAGTAATAGAAGTCGCCTGGATTTCTGCTATTTATCATGAAGAAAATTGAAAAACTAGTAACATGGGGACGTGGGTTCAAATCCCTCTCAGGGAAAATTTTCTTTTCAAACATTGATTCTATTTAAGTATGATTATTTGGGGCGTACAGGGTCAGGGTTTCCCTCGTATACAGAATTTATATATATATATCTATATATATATCGCAAGTCGTTAGTGGAACTCTCAGGCCAACAAAGGTGCACCACGCCAGGAGGATCAATAAAGATTCGCAGTCCAAACCTCACAGCCAACACAAACGTAGAAAGTTTAAAAATTGCGAGGATGGACAACTTCTGACGTAAAAATATAAAAGATTTTAATAAAAAACGTTTCGGTCAGAGACCTTCTTCAGTTATTTACAATATTTCTGCCGCAAAGAAAAAACTCCAGTCATTAGCTATATTAAGAGAGGAATTGTGCAAAGTCTTTAATAAGATAAGCGACGCCGCCTGGTAAGGCAGAGAAGGAAGCGATCGAAGTGATTACAGAAAAAAGGCTAAGGGGAACGAACAAAAAAGGACATAGAGGAGCATGCCCAAGATGACTTGACAAATGACGAAGAGAAGGACGAACAGAAATATGAAGAAAAAGGCGCTGAGAGGGGAATAAAAGAAGACGCAGAAAACGCGAAAAAAGAGGCAGAGGTAGAAAAGGACGCAAATGGAGGAAGAGAGAAGGAGGATAGAAAAGGGTGCAAAATTTTCGTAGAAGAGGACGTACATGAGGGTGCAGAAGAGGACGAGAACGATGAAAGGGATCCCATGAAGGAGTTAGTAGAAAACGCAGAGGAAAACTCCGAGAAGGACGCGAGAGACGCAGAGGACGTAGAAGAGGATGTAATATAGGAAGAGAAGGACATTTTCACGAAATTTTGTTTGTTTCTTTAAATAGATGTTTTCAACTTGCCTCTCATCTCGATGTTTTCAGAAACTAGTTGCTGCAAGACAAGGTTAAAGCACTAGGTATTTATTAAATTTTAGTCCAGGTGTGGCTTAGTCAAATGTTGGAATATTTCTTAAAAAGGATAACTCAAAGAAAAGAAACACAACTAGGTCCAGAACATTCCTTTGATGGTTTCGATGAATTGATTTCCGCAAATTCCGTGAAACCCATCGTCTCGTCTAGGTTTTTTTGTCTTTTCTTTTCTACATTATTTTACGTCTCGTCTTCTACACCAAGTAAGGACCGAAATTTGAAGACCACTCGGGTAGTTAGACTTGCTGTAAGCTACGTATCGAGTAGTTCTTCCGAGTTTTGTACCATTAGGTGCGCGCTACGAGTTACTCCATAAAACAAATTGTTGATGTGTTGAAGGCACTGTGGAGGCTTAGATGGAACTCACTGGCGTTTTTATGCGTTCCAAAATTCTTGTATCTTGATGAACGCACACAGACACGTGAAGCAATTGTTCATTGTAAGATAGATTTGGTTTCCTTTACCGTAATGTCACGAAGAGTTTTTATTTACGTGAGTTCTAGCACTTTTCATGTACGGTCGAACGTGCTGGTGTTACGCACTGCGCGCTATGAGTTCCGTTGTAAAACAATCGGTTAGTGCTTCAACTGGGCATTCAACGAGCTATCAAACACTTAGGAAATTTGAAGGCCACTCGCTAAGCACTTGAGAAACTTGGAGACCCCTTGAGTAGTTAGGGTTGCTCCCAGCTACGCATCGAGTAGTTCAGTCTTCCGAGTTTTGTACCACTAGCTGCGCGCTACGAGTTCCCCCATAAAACAAATTGTTGATGTATCGTCCGTCTTCGGTCCCGAAGGGTTTTTATTTTCAAGTCATGAGCATTAGCACGTTTCATGTGCGTCGAACGTGCTGGTGTTACGCTCTGCGCGCTATGAGTTCCGTAGTAAAACAAACGGTTAGTGCGTCAACTGGGCATTCTACGAGTTATCAAGCTCTCAGGCCACTCGCGAAACACTTGAGAAATTTCAAGATCCCTTGAGTAGTTAGGGTTGCTCTCAGCTACGCATCGAATAGTTCCTCCGCTTTGTGTACTACGAGGCACGCGCTGCAAGTTCCTCTATGAAACAAATTGGTCATGCGTTGGCTATGCAGTCAACATAACAGAAGGCATTGTGGGGGTTTAATTAGAACATAACCAAAGAAAAGCACGCGCTCTGAATGGTCAATTCCTTGTCCATGGGTGTACGCTGCTGACGTGAGCGAATGCAAAGACTAGTTTTCGTGTTTTTTTTCTTTGGTCACGTAAGATTTTTTAAATAGAAGGGAATTTTTTTGCCACAATGTATCAATGTCATGTTACGTTATTAAACAAAATGGTAGATACCAAAGCGTACACTACCGAGTTATGGATGCACTTGGGAGGTTTCCTAAGCACTCAAGAAGCCAGAGTCGCTCTCGGCTATCGCCTCGCTTGACTCTTGGGCTTCTCTTGTGCTTAGCAACCTTCCGCGTGCATCCACAACTCAATATTGTAATAGTGTGCACCATTTGTTAAATGGAACTCAAAAAGATAAAGTTAGTCTCAGCTGCGCCTCGAGAAATTCTGGCGTTTTTGTGCGCTCCAAAATTTGTTTGTTTTATATCTTGGTGAATACACACAGATACATGAAGCAGTCGTTCATTTAACAATTATTCCACGAGCACGCGTTGGTTATGAGATGATAGATAGCCAACGAGGCGCGTGGCGCCGAGTTGGCTATAATCATCTTATATCCAACAAGCGCGAGTGGAATAATTGTTTTATTAAAAACGTTGAATCAAATTATTAAATTTTATTAAATTTTTAGCTCCCTTTTAATTTTAAGCTGACACATACGCTTACCATATTTGTAGATTATGGTATATTGGCTCATAAATTATACCATAATGGCTAAGCCAATAAAAAGTCTTGAATTGCATTATCCAATGATCTAGTTTTTAATAATATAAGATAGATATTGTTCCTTTACCGTAATGTCCGTTTCCGGTCACGAACATTTAGCTGATTTTATGCTCTACGCGCTATTGGTTGCGTTGTGAAACAATCGGTTTGTGCGTCAACTGTGAATTTAACAAGTTATCAAGCTCCAAGGACGTTTGAAGACCACTTAAGTAGTTAGAATTGCTCTCAACTACGCATTAAGTAGTTCTTCCGAGTTTTGTACTATTGGGTGCGCCACGAGTTCCCCAATAAAGCAAATTGTTCATGCGTTTCACCTTTTAGTAGGTATAAATACAACGCTCTTATGCAATCAAGAACAGTTCTAGCAAGAAGCCCACACAGTGAACTTCTTCAGTCATTTTTGCTCATCTACATTAAGGCTTTGAGTCAAGTTGAACTTTGTTGCGGGTCGAAGCAAAGTGAGTACACTAAGAATACTTTTTTGCGTAGCTTACGGTTTCGTCGCGGTCAGTCACAATCTTCGTCTAAGATAAAACGTTATTCCTTTATCCAAAGGAAGACCAAAATTATGCTTACCTCCTAAAATTCAGCTAATTGAACGAGGCGCACACTGATCAAACACCCCCGTTGCTTGTGTTTGGGTTTTTGTGATCAAAATTTTTAAGTCCTCATGCGAGTTAATTCTGTTTGTTTTGAACACTTGTCAGTCCGAGTGCCAATGACGTGGTTTGTTTGTTTTTTAGATCGAATTTTGTTATCAAATTTAATAAGTTCTTCGGCTCTTTGGTCTTCTGTTCGACGGAACACTCTATCTGAGATATTCTCTACATTTTGTCGAGTCGGGTCATTGAAGTTGAACTTGAATCACTGAGAAATGTGGGTTGAATCATCATGATCCGCGATCGCTAGTATTCTTATATAAAAGTAAAGACTAATTAAGAAAAAAGATACGACGAAACATTTCAATCAAAACAATATCCGGGAACGAAATGGGAAAAATGCCTGATTTGTAGTTTGCTCATTTCACTGAATTATGATGTATTGTTGCTTTTTTTATTCACAAACTTAAGTGTTCTTTCTTGATAAAATCTAGATCATGGGGACATCCATTTCGGCACAACTTAAGGAGCAACAGGAAAAAAATGACGAGAAAGCAGTGCAAGAGCTACAGATGCTGCAAGAGTTGATGGTCAACAAAGTTGCCGCCGCTACAGCAAAGATGAGGGAGGAAGCGCTCCGAGACACTAATCTCCCAATTGTGGCGTTTGTCGACACAATAGAGAAGTATTCTGTCAGCGTGTCAAACGTGCCTGATGAGGAGATAACTAAATCACTCAAAGATATGTTTGGTGGAAACTTTCTAGGAGGTCTTATAGGCGTTATCGGCGTGGCCCTCAATCAGTTCTTGGGAAACACACAGGTTGGCGCAAGTGAGCAGAATGATTACCACATCATCTTTAGCAATAACAGCCTCATGCGAGTCGATGTTATGTTTTACAAGTACGAGTTTTCATCCAAAGGAATTCAAGATAAACGTCAGAATGGGTTCTGCTACTCTACACAAGCTGCCGTTCTCGACCTCAAGAAGGTGAACCCCCAAGTCCTGTTATACGGGCTCACACGAGCTATTGGCCAAGAAAATATTCCCGAAGCAGTAAAAGAGCTTCATACATTGGCTGGGTTTGGAGAGGAGTTGTACCACGTAATCAACAAGTTGAACACGGAAGCCAAGAAAAGCACTACAGATTCTGATGATGACCCGGATGACCGTGAAGAGCAAATAAGACAACCAAGCGACGAAGAAGATCATGAAGAACATAACGTTTAGAAGTCCAATAGGCTACCTTAAAATCTACCTTACAGTAGATTTTAAAACAGACAAAAGTTTTCAAAACTTTTCAATCGCCGGAAATTGCCCGAATTGTTTTCAAGCTGAGCAAAATAGCATTCCGTTATAAACTTTATCTTATTTTTGATTCAATGTAACAGATACATATATATATTTATATATATGTTTATATATATATATATATATATTTTTTTTTTCAATACGTGTTATCGATACTGGTTGTGTGTCAGTTAAGACAGGGCTGAAAGTCATTGTTCGTGAAAAAAGAAGTTGTTAGAGTAACATTATGAGTTTTCAGTTTAATCGCTTTAACAGTAAAAGTGCTTGGATTGGATTTGATTAGAATAAAGCAATTGCAAAATCTCTCTCAAGTTGTTGTTTCGAAAGTTATTGATATCACGTTGTGGTAATCTAAGTAATCAGTTTCTACCTGTAAAAACCATCTGTGGTAATGAGTTGATTTGGTGGAGAATTTTGGGGAAATCACCTGCAAGGTTTTTAGGGGAATCGGAGGGGGTATCAGTCGTCGCTAACAAAGTATAAAGTTGGGGGGGAAGGACTATATAAAACTGCAAACCCCCATTGCCATAAATTAAAAGATTAGGCGTCCCTTTCCGTCCCTGTTTTTGTAGGCGATCGATCACCTTAGTGGGTCTTTCACTATTCGATGCGCACTCGGATTTAGGAATACTAACGGTGCTGCTCTGAAGACCTTATTGAAAGGATCATCTGTGATCAATGCTGATGTTATCGTATGAAAAAAGAAAATTAAAATAAACACCATCATATATAATGACGTCTTCAATCAAATAAGAGCCGTCTCCCCCCAACCCCCCTGTCTTCTTTAGACTTAGATAAGCTCTCCGAGCATTAAAACGCGACACATTTGTTATATTTCTTTACATAAAGATACTCTCCTTTGGCTTTTAATGCATTTTTGATTGACAGTAGCACCGGTCTGTTAAGCTTGCATTTCAAATGTTATCATTAGTATGATACAGCGCGGTAACAAAATATAGTTAAAGCGACAACCACCTTGAACATTGCATAATATACACTTAGGCAAAGCAAAATTTCCTTTCCAAAAGTATCTTGAGGGATACTAAACTGCCTTTCATTCGTGTGAAATTGACCTAACTTTTAAACGAGAGATATTTCTCGATTTTCCTCAGACAAACTAAGTTAAAATTTAAACGAATTATTAATAGATCAAAAGAGTCAAAGCTCCCTTAACATATCAATCTCCATGAACTTTAAACGCATACGTCATTCACTAGTGGAGTCGACAACTTCGTCGAATCAAATAAGTCGAAATGGAAGACCATCGGGCGGGGTGATTCCATTCAACCGGTGGATGATAAATTGTCTTGCACTTTTCAAGTTAGAGGCCAGATATGGGTGTCTTCTTTAGTGGATGAATTGTTTTTGAGACAACTTTTATGGTTCAAAAGCAATGAAGCGGACACCTAATCCACGTCATCAACTAGATCTGTTTCTTTTGCAATAGAATCCTGTGACATGGAAGGGTTGCGCATCATCCCAATGAACTCTATAGAATCAAGAAAAAAATTAAAGTGACAAAATCAACGATGAAATTCCGTATGATCGCAAATAATACGTTGCTAGTGTTTACAAGACGGATTGTCCAAAATAGTCAATTCCTTTCGATAATTCTTATGTCCGGGCTTTTCACTCGCATATGTTGACACTGATAGCCTCGTGTGACGTAAATTTTAGTGTTGGCGTTAAGCGACGGCAAGTAACACAATAGGACACCCTCTACTCAATTTATATTGTTGAGGGAAGTCAAGTATTTCTCGATTACTAAAAAATCTAAGAGGGTATTAATTAAATCAAATTCCTTTGAGTGAATAAAGGATCCACTAGAATCTGGCCTCGTTGCTTGGTCGAGAGTAGTGAGGACTCGTATCTGGGAGAAAACGGTAAAGGGTCAGAAGTAACTTTGCCGGCTTTTTTCGGAAATCTCTCGCGTAGCTCTCTCACACGCTCATTCCCCAACACCTTCACGTGGTTTCTCGCGCGCGTCACGTTCTGCAAGCCCAAACGCTTGATTATATTTATTGTGGAGCATCAAATTGATTCTTCACTTGCCTTCTGGGACATCCAACACAGTGTCTGGACCCAGGCCACTTAATCCTTCGTCGCCATAACTTTTCCTCAATATGTCTCCTATGTGACTCGCACTGAAAGAAACCGGAAATTTAAATGACGTGAATATGACAGTAGCCTGTGATCTGAGGTTAGTTCTTTTCTCGCTCAGCATTACAAATGTAGATATCTCGTAATGTTCTCGACTAACACCAAATGAGAACCGGTTGATAAAAAAATTGAGTGAATATCTTTGCAGGGCAATAAAGTAATAGATCGATACAATTTATGTAATGAAACTTTTAATGAAAAACGGGGAGCCCAGAAAGTACGACAGGACTGATCGCTCGGTGCACAGGGAAACCTACCAGCTGTATGGCGGCTCATCAAGATCAGAATCTTTATCTAAGTTCAGAAGAAAGTCTTCTAGATCGGGAAATATTCTGCGAATAAATAAAACCACAGATCTTTTAATTCGTGATCCTAGCCATATATAATTAAACCGCAAAACCAATCTGGTATAGTAAGGAATGGCAGTTCAGATCTGTATACAATGGCAAATTGCAACTTAAAGAATTGCTATTTTTTGTTTTAACTGAGACTTACAGGCTTCTATCTGGAATGTCCTCCGATGAAGAGTCTGTATAATTTTCTCTATCATAAAACAAACGAAACATACTGTAGTTTGCAAAATCACCTCTTCTACAGCTCAGATTTTCCAAACTGACACTCATCTGGCACTATCATTGTTTACATGAAATTAAGTATATATTCCGGTCAACTCTCTTGATAACAGTAGCAGACATCGAACATTAGCTGAGGGCCACAATCACAAACATATTTCGGAAAACCAAGTTTTTTGTTTGGGCTTTCGCCAGCCGTTGG